TGGCAGTTCTGGGCATAGCGTACTTCGATGTCGAAGAGTTGAAGAGCCAGCAGCCATGACGCGATTCGCGCATTGGTCACCACACCATCTCTGATGCGCTGACTGTTAAGGAAGGTCACTGGCTTGTGCTGAGTCTCAATGATGATTTTCTGTCCACCGATGTAGCTAGAAGAGTGTTTCACCGCCCACATGGTGGAAAGCAAAGCTTTTTCACAGCCAGAGTACTCAGGACTGGACAAGAGCTTACTAGCATAGGCTACGACACGCCTGTCACAGTCATATACTTGGTAGAGACTGGCACTCAAACAGTGAGCTGAGAAACCGATCTCAAGGTGGAACTTCTTGTCGCAATCGGGGAGCGCCAAGCACAGAGCTGAGCATAACGTGGCCTTCAGGTCATCCATGGCCTGTTGCTGCTGCTCAGTCCACTCGAAAGGCACATCCTTCTTCAGTAGATTAGTCAGAGGTCTCGCTATCTCACCGTAATATTCTACGAACTGGCGCGAGTAGTTGCACACCCCTAGGAAGCTCTGAAGTTCGGAGACGTTCCTAGGAGGTGTGATGGTGGCCACACCTTGAATTCTGCCAAGTTGATGCTGCACTCCCTGTGGTCCCACAAGGAGGCCAACAAACTGAACCTGTGACCTGCACCACTGACCTTTGGCGAGAGAAATCTTTGCACCTGCAGCTGCGAGCTGACCCATGACATGGTCCAGCTTGGACAGGTGGTCATCCAAAGGTACACTTACGAAAAAGAACGTCATTGACATAGATGAGGGTGCCTCGCTCTCGAGCATCAGGGCAGGCTTTGTCCAAGAAGATGTTGAACTCCGCTGGTGAGTTGGAATAACCGAAAGGACACCGAGTGAAGGTGTACTGGCGGTTGGCAAAGGAGAAGGCTAGTTTGTGTTGGTCCGATTTACGGACAGGAATTGTCCAGAATCCAGAAGCAATGTCAAGGGTGGAGAAGTATTTAGCGTCTTTCACTTTTGGAAGTTCTTGTTCCAGGCGCGCCATCAGCCACCTAGACAAGAGAACCTGTTAGTTGAGTTGCCTGTAGTCAATGGTTAGTCGCCACTTAACATTAGGCTTCTTTACTGGCCACAATGGAGCTGAGTAGGTGCTGTTGCAGGGTCGGATGATCCCTTTAGCCAATAAGCTTTCAATGATTTCCTGGACTGGTCCGTGGGACGCCAGGGGAATCTTGCATTGACGCACAAAAGTCGGCGCAGCATGTGGCAGTGTAGGAATCCTGACCTCATGGATAGTGGTTAGACCACAGTCCAAGGAGTCGAGTGAAAGAAAATCTTTTTATTTTAACAAAAGTTGTCGTAGTTTGTCTCGCTCAACATCGTTTGTAAGAGCATCTGCTTGGTCCTCAACCTGCTTAATCTGAGACAAAACATCAGAGGGAGTCTCTGATGGCTTTGAGCTCGGCAGTGAGCATGCGGTCTCCCCACACTCAGGATCACTTACCGCAAGGCAGTGTGAGTCGGGGAAAGAAGGTGGAGTGAACGGTCGAGGTTTTCTAACACCTGCCCTCAGTTCTCCATCTCCAATGTCGATAAAAGCATCCAAGCGCTTCAAAAGATCGATACCTATGAGCAAAGGCATGGTCCCACTCTCACAGATGTACACGGGGTGTGTCAAGCTCATGGGCCCGATCGTGAACTGGAGCATAGTCTTAGAAGACAAGAGCACTGTAGAATCAGAGAAAACACGGATAGTTAATGCACAGGGAATCAGTTCTGGAGGGCGCACGCCCCCCTTATTATCCAAGCAGACGCGGTCATAAAGAGACTTGCTCATGATTGTAAAATCTGAACCCGTATCTAAAAGTGCGTTGCAGGGAAGCACCTGTTGCAAAATGACAGACACTGTGGGCTTACCACCCCTTCCCTGTGACAGGAGAGGTCCCAGCAGTAGTTTGTCAGGCTCGACACCAGGGGGCGCTGGGCCACTGCCCGTGAAGGTTTCACTTATCATCAATGTGGATGAAGCGATATGGGAGAAGCTGAGGGTTTCCTGTAATTCAGAGCCAATTAAAACATCCGATTGCAGCGTTCTCATCTTATCTGGCGGCAGATCAGCAGAACACAGGGTTACCACCCCTTCCACCTGAAAATCATTTCCAAAATCTCGGATTTCGTTGGCTTCCTGTTGCAGATTGAAAAGCTGCGATTTTATGCTTCTCACCTCAGTAAGCTGCATTTGGGATTCGTTTCTCATTTCAGCAAGCTGAAATTGAAAATTATTTTTCATCTGTAGGATGGGAGCAGTTAGTTGTTTAATTTCCTCTGAACTCATTTTAATGATGTACAGTCCTTTTGAATGAACATTCAGGCAGAACAGTTAAGTAATGACCCAGAAATATCACTCTACTGACCGTACCGAAAATGGCTGGTCGAAGCTGCGTGGTCTTACCAGGCAATATGGCGGCAGGTGCGCATGTGTCGTGCGTCCACTGGCGGTTAGCACAAATACTACCGAGGTCCATTTCTCACACCGAAAGTGTTAAAAATGCTGCTAAATCAACTTGAACTAAGCAAATTTTTATCCCTTTGTGGGTAGCGGATTTAGAAGACACAGGAACGCTGTGTTGATCAATTTTCAGCCACGGGTTGAAACTCTGTTTTTGCTGAATCAAGAGCTAAACTGTAGCAGCTGCGTGCTAAGCTAGCAGGCCTGTCAACTGAATCAGGCGATTTGGTCCAATTCTGCAGTAGAACAGGCCGGCGCGAATAATCGAACGTTCGTGAGCAATCGTATTAATATTCGGCCTAATAGCGTATGCACTTCGTGGTGCAGCGATGCTCTTCCGTTTTAAAAGCTTATATTTAGCAGCTAGTGCTAAGCAGCTCAACGGGACTGATCACAGTGATCAAATCGGCGATCTGGAAGCAGACTCCCGGTGGAGATCTCTATCTCCGTACAAAAGTTATCACACAGTGTCACGAATCACACAAATACATATTTAAACATGTATTTACATTTCAGATTACAGCAGGAAAAAAAACGTTCTTTGTGCTAGAAACTCCAATGGCTTTAGGTGAAATCAAAATGGCTGCGTATGACACTTTAGATGAAGAGAGACGAATCAGCGCCTCCTTGTGGGAGGTGAACAGTGTTACCCCCCTTTTGTTTTAAATGGAGATGCTGCACTCTAGTGGCGCAGTACGAGATCGTACCCCTTTTCAACCAGAAACATCAGTTTTAGTGTTTTACTGTTTAAAAATTTCTCAGAGTGAGCACAAATTGTCCAAAATGTACAAATATCTGGCTATGGCCCGCCATTCTGTAATGATTTAAATGACATGTTATTTAATAAGCCATAAGGCGTCGGATTCCATAGGAAATATGAAATCCACCTTATGGATCTGTGAGGTTATTTAAACCAGAAGACTGGACCTTTTTAATGCAGGGATTAGATAACAGCTTCGTATTCACTCAGAGACAACAGAAGAGAGAGAGTCAAGTTAAAAAGTAAAAATTTTATTACTAACAAATTAAACTAGACTGACTTTAAACACTAAATGTATGGTGTAACTAAAGTGGATGAGACGGAGAATGGTGTGATGTGGAATGTTGCTCAGAAGCAGCAAATCCGAAGAAGCGATTAGTTCTGATGGGAACTGAAGGTGATGTCTTCGCATTAAGCTTTGGTTAGGAGGTTCATAAACACATGAGACACCCTTTGCCAGTCTACCTACCCTGGTGGAAGTCCCCGTTAGATCAGGAATGTCAAAGTCCAGCTTGACCTTTTCTGGAAACGAGCCGGTAGGAAAAGCAGCGGTTGCAAACCAGACCAGTCTGTGAGATACTCCCGGGTCACGACAATTTGTTGGCGTCTGGTGAGACCCAAGCCTGGGTCTTGATGGTTCAGCTTTTATTCTGAAAGGAACCGTTGCAGCAGTTGGAACAGCAATGAATTTTGCAGCTTGTCGTTGGTTCTTGGTTAAAGAGTATAGATCAGGATTGGCCACTCCGACACTTTCTCTGGAACGCTTTGAAGAGATGACGTGGGCATAGTTTTATACTTCGGATGTTATGGTTTATGGTTTATGGTCGAATGAAAAGTTGACAGATTTGACCAAACACCATCAAAACTACGCCTCCGTCAGATCTGGCAGATTCTGATTGGATCAGTGAAAGTAATGTGTCATGTCTTTTAACGCTACGTGAAATCAGTCCAGTTGGAACATTTAGTCATATTACTTTTATATTCTATAGGATTATAATAAAATAATTAATAATTTGATTTCACAGATCGGTCACATCTTATTTATTGACTAACACTTGGTTGGATTAGCTTTATTAAAATAGAGTTCTTTGATTAATTAAAAGGAGAGAGTCCTTTCTTCATTCTTCTGCTGAGCTGAAAATAAGCAGGTTAGAATCAAATGCATGAGACCTTGAGACCATATCTCATGCAGACTAGTCCTGTGTCAGAGGAGAGGGGAAAACAGTCATTTCATTCTGTTCCAGCCACTAGGATCAAAAATCCCTGGGAGCACAAGGCCCATCAGACTCCCTATCATTACTGACAATGAGTGAAGAGGTAAACATGTAAAACAAAGTTTATCAACAGAGAAAGTTTTGTAACTGCTTGTCACATATCAGTAAATGCATTTTGTCCTCATGAGCACCTGTAGAAGTAAACATTGCATCTAATATGGCGTCGCCCAGAGACCTAGACCCGCGTCCCCATGAAGCCACCAATGTTTTCCAACAACTGGACATCATTTAATTCATTTTCAACAATATTTCGATGGATATTTCCAGTGATTATTAGCGAAAACTACACATTGTCTCTTTAAACACGAGTATCCTGCTGTGTGCACAGGTTGTTTCCAGGTGACCATCAGAAATCCTCCAAAAAAGCAGAAATTACACCAACAAAAAAAAAGGATGTTGCGTACTGTTTTTAAAAAAAAGATATGAAAACTGTGACTTGGTGCAGCCCTCTGAGATCTAAATGCTTGTTTTTCTCATCTCTTCAGATCGAGAGTGCAACCCCAGCCTGCTCAGCATCTTCCAACAGATTGCATCACCCACACTAGCTCCTCCGGAAATAGAGAACCAGACAGCTGTGCTGATCATCGGTAACGAAGAACCTGCCCTGGCATCCCCATACTTACAATGGTGGGACGCCCAGAGCATTGTGGGACTTGTGATATTTGTGCTGTGCATTCTTTACTCAAGGTAAAGTTTTTACCCTTTTCTACATCAATCAGGCTTTTTTGATCTTTACCAAACAGAGCAGCATTGTTTGTAATTACTGCCTATCCACACCACGGTTTGATGGTGTAGTAATATTAATAAAATGGAATAACACCACTTAAATGCAATTCTGGTGTTTATGGAACATGATTTTAAAGCCCCAAATTGAGGATTTGGTTGAAGACTTCTGTGTATTCAGCCCAAATGGTAAAAAAAAGGGCCACAGGGTGAAGTCCTGGATAGAGTGTACTTAGATGTGCCAGTAACAGTCCCCCAGACTGACATGAAATGAGATGTTCAAGAGATCCTAGAATAACATTTTTTCCCAAATTGAAATTGTTCTTTGAGCCTCAGTACTTTATACAACACTTTGATGGGTCTCACAATGACCAAATAGAACCCCATAATAAAGCCCTACAATGGATAGACCGGTTTGCCCTGCCCACTCAGCCAAAACACAAATATTAAATGAGCTGCATGATTGGCCAGTTTACCCCAATGACTCTGTGGTGCTGCCTAAAGTTGGAAACCCTGTATGTGTATCTGTATAGACAGATGGATCTGTCTAACATTCATTCACGGTTTGGATGTTCCCAGTGCATCATCCTGGAAAGTTACATGTGAGCTCCGAAATTGTTCTTTGCGGTTCTTCTCTCCTTCAACAAGGACATTAGCAGTAGCTTATGCTAGCATTGTTCTGCGGCAGGGGTGCAACTACCTACTTTCCGAGGGGTATGCAGACACATACACAACTGCTGTGGAAGTGGGACATGTAAATGTGCAGGGTGCGTCAGTAGGGAGCCTTAAGCTTGGTTTATGCTTGACGCATTCACTTTCCGCGCGGTGATGCGGCTCGCGGCTGGAACGCGCTTCGCAACTCGCAGTGTTTATGGTTTGTGCGGCTCGTCTCTGCGGTGAGCCAATATTCTCCCAAACTGTAGGGGGCAGCATGGAGCTCTACAGCATGCATCCAACACTACACCATAGTAGAAGTAGAAATGACTGTTTACAACATGGCATTTCAGCATTTTTAACAGCGTCCTCGTCTTTTCCGACAGTGCGAGCTATTTCTCTCCAAGAATTATTAACAACATGTTGATCACGGTGATCTCTGAGAGCTGAATCATACAAATGTCTGTATTTACCAACCTCTGCCGTACTAGTTCTTGCCGGTCCGCCATGTTTTTCCGCGTCCGTCCGCGTGGTTAGAAATTTTCCGAGGTGCGCGTTGCGGAAATTCTGGCCCGTGCGGAGACGCGGTGGAGGGGCGTGGTTGTTAAAATGACACTAAATGACGCAACTTTTCCGCGCGGAGCCGTGCGGACCTCGCGGACGCGTCAAGCATAAACCAACCTTTAGCCACACCCATCTACTTCCAGACCATGGGTCCCCGGAAGAACTAAACAATGAATGCAAGTCAACGGGTCTAAAAACACTATTTTCTAATCCTGCTTGTTATGTGGCATGGATTTCCCATTCTCCCTATTGACATATGAATTTTATTGACACATTCTAACGCCAAGAACACGCTTATATTCGAACGGGGGCAAAAGTTATTTCAGGTTTTGTGTGAAAATACAACCAGGGCCACAAATGTGCATCACCAAAGTGACGTCATCGAGCCAGACACGGAGAAAACCAGAGGGAAAGCGGCTGTATGTTTAGCCAACTTCAAATCCTTCGTTCAGGAGGAAAGAACCACCATGAATCTGGTCATTTGGTAAGTAGCAGCTACGCTAGGGCGAGGAGATTCTGTGGTACGTACGTCTGATTTGTTGTCATGCTAATTACGAAATTTTACACGCTGATAAATCTCAAAGTGACAGGCGTGGTTGAAACACCCATCATTACTTTTCATTTAAATTGAAGCACAGCATAAATGCGATCCAGGGTCTAAAGCAGAGCGGATTGGAAAACAACTCTTTTAGCCCCGTTCAGGGACCCATGAGCCGACCAGAAGGGGAGGAGACTTAGCGCCCCATGTCTATGTTTAACCAGCTTTTCTTAGAGTGAACTGTTTGTCTTTCGCCTTTACAGCAGTACTAACAGGACAGCAGGACAGACACGGCACAGGCTTTTTGGTAATCTACATCAGACACCCCAAACTTCCTATACTCAACAACAACAATGTTATGTGGCTTTGAATTCTAGGACTGCCATGAGGCAGCTGATCCACATTTGCTGAGAGCAGGTCTTCCTGCACTGCAACTTTCAACTTATTATACGTGATTCCTCTGAAAGATCAACCAAAACACATCATCCCATCTTCTCACAAATATTCAGCAGAAGGAGGTTCCAGGGAAACTCGGCATCCATCTAAAGCTGGCCAGTCTGTCATCACTACACCATCTAACCAGATTACCCATTTATGCATCAACCTGCTGTTGTTCAGATTCACTTGGTCCCTTTACAGAGCATCACTTTCAAACCAAACTCACCCAGAACAGTAAGGTTCTGGCTCACATCTAGTTCCACGGAGCCCAGTTCACCGCAACAGCGCGGCTCAACACAAATGCCAACAGGTCTGCTTTATGACAGAGTTTCTGACTGTGAAACAGTGTTTTAACAATAACTACACTCACGCTCCATTTCTGTAGCTACACATGAAGGCTGTTCTGTAAAGAGAACAGGACGGCCTCAGAATGGAATGCAGCCTGAACCTTCTGCTTTAGACAACTGTCATGTTTCACTACATGGATGTTTTTGAGGATTTTGGACACATCCTCCAATCAAATGAGACACCATTTATTTTCCACAGCATTCGCTCGTCCAACACAAGCCAGGTCAATAAGCTGACCATGGC